CTTGTGTAGAGGTGGTTTTCCATCTCTGAGAGAAGAAAAGGGGACTTTGCAGTGGCCCAGCGTGATGTTTGTCCGCCCTTTTCCCAGAACTGCAGAGGCAGGGAGGGAGTCATCTGTGCCATGTGTTAGTTGTTAATTTTAGCTTTACCATAGCTCTTGATGACAGGGCTTGGTTGTTTCCTGCTGTAGGCAGCATGTAGCAGTTATCCTGGAGGTACAGTGTGGCTGTAAGGCAGTAAAGCTGCAGCTCCTGCCCGGGCCGTGGTGCTCAGTGTGTGTAGCTGGATTCTCCCAGCTCACACAGCTGCTGCCTGCTGGAGTTGAGGCCATGTGGTACCATTTTTCTTGCATTCATGCTAAACCTTTGCCTTTAGGTTACATAAGGATGGCATCAAGCACAGGCTGAATTCCACCTGTGTCTGAGTACAAAGCTTGGCCAAAAGGTGGTTAAATATCTGCCATGATATGCATGGCATTTATCAGTCTTTTTCCTAATTCTGGCTTCCTGGTGAAGTCTGTATGAAGTAGCAGCCTGTACTGGCATGGCCAAAAGAGCATTATAGGATCTGATGTACAGATCCCAAACTGAACTTCTTGTAATGCACAGGGAGCTCCTACAGGTATCAGCAGGCTGAAAAAATAGGTTGTTGCTGATGCCTATAATGCATTGTATTTGGTCTCGAGTCTGGAGCAAAGTCACTGAACACATAGAAAATACCTGTGTGATGTTATGCTGGTGCTGATATCCATGTTTGCTGGTGTAGGAGTTATCCAGGGAGCGTTGTGCCTCTGCCAGCTCTGTTGCCATACCATGCTGGAGGCTTGCTGGGCTGGTGTCCAGAGATGATGTTCTCACTGATGTGGTCAAGCTCAGTGAAGTGGACTGGTTAAAGGTGTGGGGAGCACTGGCCGTGTGCTGGAGTCCAGCAGGGAGTCTCTAGGAGCTCTTTCTCTTTCTGGTACCATTTTTGTTGATGGTCTTTTGCTGCACTCCACGGGGTGTTAGTTCAGTCTCTACACTTTGTGAGGGTGTGAACATACCTCCACCCCAGCAAAGGGCTGCTGTGATGCTGTGCTCCAGCCTTCATGGCAGCTTTGAGTATATGCAGCATCTTGTAATGTCTTTTCCTGGATTGAGACACTGGATCTGTAGGAGAGCTGATGACCTTGGTAGAAACATGGCAGCTGATGTGTTAAAGATCTGGGGTACAGCTGACTGCTCAGAATCGAGGTGTCAGGAGAGGCAAGGAATCATTTGAAGGCAGAAGTTGATCTGAAATCATGTCAAGGAAAGTGTCAGAAACCAGACTTGCTCTGCAACAGAACATTCTTCATAGGTGGTTTAACAAGCCTTGGAATTAAATCTGGAGAAGGGGGGAAAAGTGACGTAGCTGTTGTGTCAGGGCTTCACAAGCCCACAGTGTGCAGTCTGGGCTGGGACTGATGGAAAAGCAGACCTGGGCAGCCGTGTAACCAGGGCTTTTCCTAGACAGTTATGAGCTCACACTAAACTCACACTGCAGCTGCATATATATTTTCCAAAATACACTTCTGGAATTTTACATAAGCTTTTTTAGTATGCTAATAATCTCTGTGGTCATTCATTCCTGGAGTTAATGACTACTCTCTTGGAGAAAACAAGTTAACAAAATGACAGCTGCTCCTAACAAATCACTTGCTTGGAGAGGCCAGTGCAAGTCTAACATCCACAATAAATCCTTCTTTTGCTTCTGATGGTTCAGTGCAGCAATGGCAAAGAAATGAGGTAATAACTTTCATTTATCAAAGCACTGTGGACTGTAGTAGATTTGTGCACAAGAGCTCAGAGCCAGAATTGCCAGAGTTACAGACTGGTTTCCTGCTCTTCTTTGAGTAGCTGTAAGTGTAGATGGGAATGTGTAGTTCTGTCAGTGTAACCTGCCAGCCAGGTCATCAATAGCTGCCAGCGTTGGCGTGAGAAGGTGGGCAAGGAGCGCCCAGGAGCTGGGGGGCTCTGGAGGGGCTGCTCTGTCCCCACGGCCAAGAGGGAGCAGAGACGTCAGACCAGGGCCTGATGCTGAGGTGACACCAGCGTGTTCCAGGTGTGCCCCCTCTGCTCTGTGCAGCCCCTCCTGCCCCAGGATCCCTGCAGAGCCCCGGGGGTGTGGTGGAACAGCTGCAGGGTCCTGGGCTCTGTGCTGCTGCCAGGAGTGAGGAATTCCTGCAGCTGCTGGCTCACAGGACAGCTCTTCCAGTGACAGTGCCCACAGTAATCAATAGCCATCTTTGATCAGTTAACCTTTAACTCAGGGCAAATAGATGTTTTCCATAACATTTGGTAACAAATAAATGGATAGACTTGGCAGCCTTAGAAAAGACAACAAATGTTCTGAAATTCCCATTTCATGCATCAGGGCTGAGCTCGCCCAAGGACTGGCATTTTCTTGACAGGTTTGCAATAAACTGATGGATCTGGATGGCAGCTAGTTTGTCTCACTAGGTTTACCTTGGGTAGCTGTTGATCTTATAGTTTTTGCCTCCCTGAATTTCTGAAATCAGGTTTAAGACTTTAAAAAATATTAATGGATGTATTGGGTTTTACATTTATCATTTCATTTGATAAATAGTCTAAAATGGCAACATTGTGCCAGGATGTTGAGCTAGCTGAATGAAAGGCACGTTCCATCATGACATGAAATGAGGGAGTTAAAGATATAAACACCAATAAACCCTGTGATTTAATGAAGGGTCATTCCATGTCAGTACTGGAATTCGTAGTTTTTGTTAACTTGTATTTTTAAACTGTTCCCCATTAGTCTGATCACATTGCACAGCTCGTACTGATGGCTGCGTTGATGCTGCTCTGAACTGCTGCAGTTCAGTTTTGGAAGGGGTTTGTTGTACTGGGCTGGCATGGCCAGGTTTTGGTGCTGGGGTGGCTTTGTGAGAAGCTGCCAGAAGCTTCCCCTGCGTCCAGCAGAGCCAAATTTGGACCCATCAGGGACAGTGGCAGAACCTCTGGGGAACATTTAGGAAGGGAGAGGAAATCCCCGTGGAATTGCAGCTGGGTGAGAGGAGTGAGGGGATGGGAGAGGAGCAGCTCTGCAAACCCCAGGAGGGGCAGGAGCTGCTCCAGGGCTGGAGCCCGGGGTGCAGCCCAGGGAGAGGCAGCTGTGCCCCTGCAGCCCCCGGGCTCCAGGATGGAGCAGAGATCCCCCTGCAGCCCCTGCAGGGCCCCCCACGGGAGCAGGGGGTGCCTGAAGGAGGCTGTGACCCCACAGGGGACCTGGGCTGGAGCAGCTCCTGAAGGACTGACTGCACCCATGGGAAGGATCAGGATGGAGCAGCTCCTGAAGGACTGACTGCACCCATGGGAAGGGACCAGGATGGAGCAGCTCCTGAAGGACTGACTGCACCCATGGGAAGGGACCAGGCTGGAGCAGCTCCTGAAGGACTGACTGCACTCATGGGAAGGGACCAGGATGGAGCAGTTCCTGCAGCCTGTGGAAGCTCTCACATTGGAGAAGTTCATGGAGGGATGTCTCCCAGGACAGGAGAGGGATGCTTGTTCATAGCACACTGATCTTTCCCCAAAGAACTTGCATTTTATTTTGCATGTGCTTATATAGAATGTTCACAGCACAGCAGGGGAGAATCCTGCAAGACAAAAGCCCAGTTTTGTAGTTCTGCAGTTCCTGGGTTCTTAGGTGTTCTAGCAGTTTTCTTGGTGCTAATGACTAATGCCAGGCTTGTGCATGCACTTGTAGAAATAGAGTCTCAAACAACACATGGAACACAGCAGTTTCTTTAGAGTTGTTTGAAGCAAAAAAAAAAAAAACCTCCATTTTTATTTTCTGCTATAATACTTTAAAAATATCACCAGCCTTGTCTTGATGGACTGTCCTGCTCGGATTGAATAGAGACCTATAGACATCTCAGAAAAACTTAAAAATCAGTTGTCCCAATTGTGTGTCAGTAGGACATGGATTCTCTAGAGTTTAAGTTTTTCTTCACAGGGAGACAAAACCAAAGTAATCCTTGAATTAATTCCCTCCTTTGGTTTGAATTTAGAGAGGTTATGCATAGGTAGAAATAAATGCATAGGGAAAAGACTAAAAAAAAAAAACAAAAAAAACCAAAAAAACAAACCTTTGAGGAAATAGCTTTAAATACTCCCCAAAACCAAACCATCCCAAAAAAATCCTCTTAAGTAGAGCTTACTGAAATCATGACCTTCCCTGTGAGTTTGCCATGTGTAGAGCTGACCCCTGACTTGTTGGCTCCTGGTGCCTTGGTCTCCTGAGGACTGCATGGGAGTCATCCCTGGCATTGCCAGGAGCAGGCGTGGGCAGTAAAGGTGAATTTCTGAGCCCACTGAAGCACAACTGCCAGCCTGAATTTCTGCCCCGAGACCAAAAGGAAGGCAGAGGCTTTCCTGTTCTGTGTGGTAAGGTTCCAGGTTGTGTTTATGAGGTTACATCCTCTGTTCACGGGGAATTAAACAGTTACTGAATGTGACTGACAGATCCATTTTCCCAGTGGCTTTCACTGCAAACAGACTTGTTTGATGTGTTTGTGGAGAGGGCCAAGGAGAAATCTTTTGGGCTTGGATTGAATTGTTTTATCAGTGGTTGTTGAATGTCATGTGGTAGAGCACTCTGTTGTGAAGGTCTCACTCGATTATTTCTTGGGCTGGCAGAGTTGTTTGCAGGGAGCGTGTGGATATCTCTGTCCTTTCTGGCTGCACCTGCCTCCCCTGGGTTTCTGTCTGTAGCCAGCCCCGGTCTCCCTGCATTGAAACACCAGCAGAGGCTTGGCCCCCCCTAATTTTGGGTTAATTTCCACACACTTGTTTGACTGCAGCCACCTTCTGCTCTCTTGGGTACTTCAGTCTATTCAGGGTGAGGAGCTCATTGATTTAGGGCCTGGTGGGGGTATCATGAGTGTCGTGAATCGATGGCCTCGAGCTGTTTTCAGGAGCTGTGGAGGATTTTAACTTTGATTCTCTTTCTACTTTGTAGGTATTTGTATAAAATGTGGAAAAGGTGTGTATGGAGCGAGCCAGGCTTGCCAAGCAATGGGTAACCTCTATCATACCAACTGCTTCACGTGCTGCTCTTGTGGTAAGTCAGATCTGCCGTGCCCTCGTTCTGTGGCTGCCTTTAGCAACCAGTGCACAAAGTGAGACCTCATCCTGCCTGCTTCCCCAGGCAAAATTCCCACGCAGGGCTCCTGCTTCAAAAGTTGGTTTTTATTTGCCATCTGTAAGTGCTCAATGATGTTTTCCTAAGAAGCAGCCCAGAAAAGTATTGTTTTGTTGTTTGAAGGGCTGCATTTACAAAATGGCTTCAGCCTGGCTGTTAGAAGCACTGTATGCTTTAAATCACTTGGCATTTATGGAACTGTAATGTGCATGTATCATTTTTATAGAAAAAAAAAAGGTGAAATTTGTTCAGCCAAAACTATTTTTTGTCACTTTCTATTTGCAAATGCAAGTCTAGTCAGGCATGTGTATTTGTCATTTCTGTGTATGCACAGTGCTCAAAAATTGTTCACTTATGGGACAGTGTGACGAGAACAAACAGAAACTGTGTGTTGAAATGTCTTATGCTATTACAAGATTTTATTTTTGTGGGGGAAAACTAGATGATAAATCACTGTTTCCTCCTTGCTGTTCTCAGGACCTTTTTAGGTTTCCCTTTTAATCTGAAAGAGATGTGTTTGTGTGTGATTTGGGGAAGTCCTGGCTTTGCCAGGGGAAATGGAAAATTCAGGGCAGCATTTTCAGAAGTGTGCCTTAAGTCAGGCATTGTGAACTGAAGTTGGAGACTTCCTCAGTGTCTTGTCTGTAACTGCTGAGAGCTCACAAATTCCCACCAAGCTCAAGGGAAGTGTGAGAGCTCAATTTTCAGGAATGAGGTGATTTTTCTTGTTTTATGCACACATCTAGTGAGGTTCCTTATATATGAAAATATTTTCCTGGATATTGAAAATCTTGTTATGATACATATCAGCAAAAGATTTAGTCTGAGCAGAATGTGCTGAGCACAGATTGTTTATAAAAAGAATTAATTAAGGATTAGAAAAAGAATAAAATATTATTGGCATAGAATCAAATAAGTTGATAATCAGAAGAATATTGTAAAGTTCACTTCTGACAGAAGTGTTGTCTTTTCTCCTGAGATCTGTACTGATAAATATTGGTTTAAAGAAACCTTCAACCAGAATGTAGAATTTATTGACCTTTCTAAATGACTCTGGACTGTTACCAGATGTGGGGTTGAACTCATCTCAAACCCTCAGGGATTGCTCATGACTTTGCTCAGGTCTCAGAGTAAGTGAGTAGCTGTTTTGTTGGCTCCCAAAGTGAACAGCATCCTGCTTAGCAAAGGATTACAAAATAGGATATCAGATAATGTCTATCCACAGCATTTACCTAACCTAATTGCATGGGTGAATTCCAGCTTCCTCTCTGGGGCAGAAATGTTGTTTTTAAGTACTCAGGCTGCATGTTTGCTACCATGGGGCTCTGTATGCACGTCACTGTTCCTTAGAAAAGTGTATAAGGGACAAGAAGTGTATTTTAACAGCAAAATACCAACCCAGCTCAATTATTTAAACACATAAGCTTTTCTGACTCTTCTGGAGAGGTGTGTGTGGCCAGTGTTCACCTACCGTGGGGCAACTTGAGACATGTCCTCCTGAAGCATTGTTTGCCCCACCCTTCAGTGCCCTGGAATTTGGTGATTCAGGCTTCCCATGAGTCACTGCACAGGGAGATACTCCAGGTTGTCTTCTGAACCTCTCACTGTGCTGCTCTGGGCTGGAGGGCCCACCAGGACAGGTCACCAGTGAGAAAGGTTTGGATTTCCTTCTGTTTGCAAGCTCTGGTACAACCCCGTTGGCAGGGGAGTGTTTGGGCACTTCCTTTCACTGCACAGGTAAAACCTCCATCGATTCTCCCTCCTGAGTGAAAGGAAAGGAGAAAGAAAGAAGAGAAGGAAAGAGAAGGATAGAGATGAAGATACATAGAGAAACAGCATGGGGACATCGAGGTTAGACAAGAAGAACGAGTCAGGTGTCTGATGGGAGGGGATTGGAGATGTCTTGGACTAAAATTCTCTTGTAAGCTATGGAGAAGATATGGTTGATATATCAGACTTTTTTTTCCTGTAACTCATGAGAAGTATGGGGCAGTGCATTTGCATTGTACACATGAGCAAAGACATTCTTGCTGAAGTAAGCAAATGTTGAAGTAGCTGTGATCCCATGAGAAGTTTAACCAGAGAGAGAAAGAAGAGTGATGAAGACCCTTTTCCCCAGAGAAGAAGAAGACCTCTGTTCCTAGAGCTGAAGATGATCTCAGAGTTAGATGAAGAGAACTTTGCTCTGAACTACTCAAAATCCTTAAAAGTAGCACCCCATAAGTTGACATGTTGTGGGGAAAACTGTAAGTCGAGGAAAGGGACTTTGACATGGTGATCAGATTTCCATTCTCCCAGGCAGCTGATTTGCTGTGACATTGAAGCCATGAGAAAACTGTTTTCTTGTGGAGAGGTCTTCATAGACTGACGAGAGAGACTCCTCTCCCTAAGTAAATTAGAGAAAGACTATGTTAGAGATGGTAAACTGACTGATTTGTTTCTGAGGGAAAAGAGGGTGTAGGGGAAGGACAAGTGTTCTGAAGGTTTTATTCTGATTCTTACTATTTTTTCTTTCAGTTCCTGTTAAAAAAGTTTTCTTTATACCCTTCAAAGCTTGAGCCTGCTTTGCCTTCCCTCCTAACCCTATCTCACAGCAGGAAATGAGTAAATAATTCTAGTGGGTGCACTGGCAATTTAGCCAGTGCTAGAGGCACCACATAAATTGGTACATTGGCCTGGAGATGTCAAATTGGCAAACTCAAACCGCTGCAAGTCCAAAGCAGAGCTTTTCCTCTCAACTCAGCTCTGAAATAGGATCAACATGAGCGTAGCTGGTAGGAGGTTGTTGCATTAACTCTTTTGTTTCTCACTGCATTTTGGGATGTTTAACCCATGGAAAACCCAGAGAGGTTCAGTACAGTGCCAGTAGATCCACACCCCAGGACCAAGGCATGCAGGTCCTGTCTGTGGGACCTGCACCCTTGAGAATGGTGCTGAAAGGAGCTCACGGCCAAGCAAATGGAGACTTCTCCCAGGACTGCAGTTTATGAGCAGGGAGTTCATCTTTTGACATTGCTGGGACCCATGTGAGAATCCTGAGCTGTAGGTTTGGTGACCACCTTTAAATGGATGAGAGTAACCAGAGAGGACCCAGAAGAACTTAAAGAGATGATTAAAGGCTGGAGAAAAGCTAATCACGAGAGCCCAGTATATTTTGGGTATCTGAAATTATGGGAAGGAGATGTGGCTGGAGCTTTTAAGTACATGAACCATAAAACAGCATTAGAAAGTGGTCTCACATGTACTGGGGACAAACACAAGAGAGATCTTTCCTGGAGGCTGAAATTACACAATTCAAATAGGAAATCAAAGACAGTTTTTCTGCAATGAGGGTGATTAACTGCTGGAACAAAATAACAAGAGAAGTGGCAGATTCTTCTTTGTTTTCAAATTAAGACCAAATGTCCCTTTGGAGAATATTTTAAGTTGAGCCAAGCTTTAGGTAATTGGGTGATCATTAATGATCTTTGTTAGGCGAGGGGTCACAACACACACACTGGTGCTCCTTCTGAGCCTTTGATAGGAGAGTAGAGAAGTCCATTGGTTCTCTCTGCCTAAACCAATATCTGTGCTGTATTATTATCTGTGTGTATTTATGTGGTGGTTGGCCCTGGCTGGACACCAGGTGCCCACCAAAGCCTCTCCATCCCTGCCCTCCTCAGCTGGATGGGGAGAGGAAATAAATGGAAAGACTTACGAGTCAAGATAAGGGCAGGGAGAGCTCCCTCACCAGTTACTGACACAGCACCAAAAAAAAAAAAAAAAAAAATTAACAACCAAATCAGAGTAGGATAATGGCAAATAAACCCTAAATCTTACAACACCTTCTCCTCGCCCCTCCTTTCTTCCTGAGTTTAACTTTACTCCTAACTTATCCCAGGCTGTCTCTGCTGCTCCTTCCTCCTCAGGGGAAGGGCTCCTCACACTCCTCCTGTGCTCCAGTGTGGGGTCCTTCCCACAGGAGACAGTGAGCTCCATGAGCTGCTCCATCCTGATCCTTCCCATGGGTGCAGTCAGTCCTTCAGGAGCTGCTCCATCCTGATCCTTCCCATGGGTGCAGTCAGTCCTTCAGGAGCTGCTCCATCCTGGTCCCTTCCCATGGGTGCAGTCAGTCCTTCAGGAGCTGCTCCATCCTGGTCCCTTCCCATGGGTGCAGTCAGTCCTTCAGGAGCTGCTCCATCCTGATCCTTCCCATGGGTGCAGTCAGTCCTTCAGGAGCTGCTCCAGCCCAGGTCCCCTGTGGGGTCACAGCCTCCTTCAGGCACCCCCTGCTCCTGTGGGGGGCCCTGCAGGGGCTGCAGGGGGATCTCTGCTCCATCCTGGAGCCCGGGGGCTGCAGGGGCACAGCTGCCTCTCCCTGGGCTGCACCCCGGGCTCCAGCCCTGGAGCAGCTCCTGCCCCTCCTGGGGTTTGCAGAGCTGCTCCTCTCCCATCCCCTCACTCCTCTCACCCAGCTGCAATTCCACGGGGATTTCCTCTCCCTTCCTAAATGTTCCCCAGAGGTTCTGCCACTGTCCCTGATGGGCCCAAATTTGGCTCTGCTGGACACAGGGAAGCTTCTGGCAGCTTCTCACAAAGCCACCCCAGCACCAAAACCTGGCCATGCCATCACAACACAAATTAGAAATGTGAGAATAGGAGCACGAAATTTTCTGTCTTTTTTAGTCTGTCTTTTTTTCCCTCAAATAACAAGAATTATCTGAGCTCATCTCTAGCAGTTTTCAATTTTACTTTCAATAGAATGGTTGTAGAAAATACAAGCAATAACCAAAGAACAATATTTCTGCACCTGAAAATATCTGATTTAGATAAGGGCTCAATACTTAACCTGCTACAATTAAATAAGATAATATTTCAATCCCGTGGGAAAAAATTGTGGTTTGGAGACCACTCAGGCTGAAATGTGATAATGAATGATG